AATGGAAAAACATGGGCCAGTTTTTCAAGCAAGCTCGGCACATTGCCCACCTAAATTACACTTACATGCAAGTGCATGCAAATGCTTAGTTTCCCTGGTCATATGCCTGAACTGCATCCACATTTTCCTCAAATGCCTTCTTGAACGCGACAGGACACGCATGAGCAGCCTCCCCAGCCTTTCAGAAACCAGAGCATGGGCGCATTGGTGGAAACAGAGGAAACACCTGCATTCCTCCAAAGTACAAATGTGGCCAAAATAATGATGAGTCTGAAAAAAGACCAAGTGAAGGCAAAGGTCAGCGTGTGGGACTTTTCAGAGTGGAGGGGGCTCAGCTTGATGCTTGGCAGGAGGGGGCCTTATCCCTTTGTGCTTTTAAATGTATTTTACTACAGGAGGTGGGGAAAAAAGCCAAATAAAACCAAGCAAACATTTTCAGCTTCTGCTGCAGTTTGTAGATGGGTGACTAAACACTGCTAGGGATAGCTCAGCCCCCAGCAGATTCTGATGCTGTTAGCTTTCCCTTCCAGAGGGACAGGGAGCTGCCAGCTGCTGAGGTGAAGGGAGGTGCACAGTGGGGTACTATGTGGCGCACGTTTCATGGGCAGGCAATTGTGCCCCTGCACAATGCCAGTCACTGCTTCAGGCCAAGCCCTGCTTCACTGAAAATCCAAAAAATGTGCTTGCTGAAACCTTGCAGGACCTATCATGCACATCCCCTGCCATTAAATACTAATAGTGATGTTTTTCTCTGGTTTTACTCTGGTGAGATGCTGCTGATCTCTCAGCTGGGCATCACCCACCCCACACGTGGGACCACAGGACAGCACCAAAGATACCAAGGAAGCTCAGCCTCCAAGCTGAAACTCACTTTTGTCTTTCTGGCTGGGAGTTACATGCAAAAAACCTGTATCAGAGTGCCACAAGAAAGAAGGGTAAGAAAACCCTCAGGAGTTCAGCTTAGACACTTTTTTTAAAAAAAATCCTCCTCCCTCTGTCTGTCTGATGCCCAAAGGAAAAAATAAAGTGCTTGGACAGGCCAGTTTGGTGTGAGTCTCTGTCCCTCCCTTCCTGCTCCCCCTTGCTGCAGCACAAGAGGAAAAACACTTGAAAGGCTCTTGGGGAGGCGGCCGCAAGGATGTCTGTTTTGCCTCCACTCATGCCACTCTTCCTTTTGCAGCTTTTCTCACATCCAGAGAGGATAAAGGCACCCAGGTGCCTCTCTCACATACACACACAGATGAGCACATTCCCATTCAAAACAAGACTGCAGTGCATTGAACTTGTCCCTGAATGTAACCCTTCTTGTTTGAACAGCCCTGCTGGCTCCTGCCTTGGGCAAGGTTTCAGTTTCCCTGTAGCTTGATGACGTGGTTTAGGCAGGATTTATAAGGCTTACAAAAAAACCACAATTAAATCTAAGGGGCAATGAAGGGGATTGTTTTTTTCTTTCTTTCTTTTTTTTTTTTCCTCCCTTTTCATTGCTTGCTTCTAGGACCAAGGTAAAAGTTGAGTTGGCAAAAGTCCACTGTGTTGGCTGGAGCTTGAATTTCTAGCCAAAAAAGCCAATTTCTCCAAGTTTAGATAAATTAATTTCCTGAAGTTTTTCAAACGTTTTCTTTGCTCTAAGTGACTGAGAAGCCATTGACATTTCAGTTGAAGAGCAATTGAAATACAGGACCTGAAGGACCAAAGCCATCTCTGCTGGAGCTCTGCTGTGGCCAGCACTGAAGCTGCCGCTGGTGAGAAAACCAGATTAAGTGAACATTCTTGAAGGTAATGCAGGTAGGGAGGGGAAGCCAGGTTGGGATTGAAATATTCCCTCTGCTTCCAGGAAGAGAAGAGCCATCCTGTTGGGAAGGGACCCAGTCGGGTCCCTGTCTGACCCCTAGGGCTCGAAAAATGGACATACCCAAATTCAACAGGAAGGAGCGTGACCTCCACTGGAAACCAGAGATGCTGGGAAAGACAAAGCCTGTGTCCCAACTTTGTCCATTGAGTCCTGTTCAGTAAATAACAGAGTGTGCTGGAACTGTGTCAGCTATGTCATTTCAGGTGAGAAAGACTTGTGTTTTCTAGGTACCAGCTCTGTAAATCCCTGAGGAGCATGCTGCCAGTGCAAGCAAGGGTCACACTGTGTTCAGCAAGACACGTGTGCACCAGCAGCCACGTGTGCCCAGGCAAATGCATTTCTCTGTGCTGTACAAACTAAACTTCAGACCTTGTGGCCTGATTTTCTTAATCCAAAAGCAAAGGTCAAACAGAAAGTACATGGTTTTGGTTTATTTATGGAGAAATGTAGCCATCAGACTTTCCAAAAGCATCAGCAAATTCTGCACATCCATGTTTAAACCCTACAGAAAGCCCTGCCCTCCCAAAGCCCTCCCTGTTTGGGTGCTGGGTTGGCAGTGTCAGGAGCCAGGCTCAGCATCAGGCAGCCTGGCACAGCCCACAGCAGAGCCATGTCTGCTGGGAGAGGGGACAGGGTGAGCTCAGACACAGAGCATCCTCTGAGGATGTCGGACTGCTTGGATTATTTACTTCTTTCTTATTACATTACTGAAAAGGAGAGTGAGAAAAAAATGCTCCCAGCTCACCCAAAGAGGAAGTGGGTAGGGAAACTTTGAGATTTCTCAGCCCTCCAAAAAGCCCCGTGGCTGGATGTGAGCATGGCCACCACAGCTGCCCCTTCACCATATGCACCACCGCCATCCCAACAGGCCTTGCACCGCCTCAATCCTGATACCAACAAGGAAGTACAATCACTTAACCGCATAGCCAGTTTCTTTTCTAAGCCTTCGGGTTGCCTCAGAAGTTTTTTAAACAAGACGCTTTCCTGTTTTTGAAACCTGTGCATCCGTATGGTTTGCAGGTTACTCAAATAACCTTATCACTTGAAGCAACGCTGGCATAAATTTCAAAACTGCTTACTGCGGTGCTCCCCTCCCCTCTCCACACATATCTATTTACTCATAGGGAGCCTTATTTACAGTATCTTCCTGCCAACTGCTGACACAGAAGAAAAAAAAGCCCTGGGTTACACATTAAGCTTTATCGTTGAAGTATTCATGCCAGACGGTGTCCAAACAGAGTTAACTGACTGACCTTAGCTCAGGGTAAGCCACACAAGGGGGAAATTTCTATCGCAATCTGCTTGCACGGGCAGAGCTCGTTTCGCACCACCAGCTTTTTCATCTCCTCCCCCCCTTCATCTGGGCTGAAAAGGCTTTTCAAAGAAAACATAGTTTTATTTTCAGAAAGCCAACTGAAGTAGAGCTGGTTCCTTGCAAGTTTGTTAAACAAGGAATTACCAGAGAGGTTTGCAGGTAAATGTTAGGGCACGGAGAGGGCTGCCTGTACACAAATACTGACCTAAAATCCATGCAGCCTGTAAGCCATGCCAAAATGGGGAAAATGAAGAAAACTGCTCTGCAAGAATATGCCGTTTAGAGGGTCTGGAAAATCCAGAAATCAGCTTCACTATGCCTGTTTTGCACAGCAGCTTTGGAAAGATCTGCCAAACGTAACAGTTTCATTTGACAGTCATCTTCTGGCTTAACTTCTGAGCTGGCCAGTGGCCATCTCATGTTGCACAATAAATGCCTGCAAAATTAATCATAAACTCCCTGCCTGGAACTCCCAGTGCTGCTCTCCTGAAGGGTACCTGCAGCCTGCTCCAAATCCCTGCCACCAGCTCAAATCCTGTGTTCATCAGTGGCCCAGCGGGCGAGGGAGGACAAACCATCACAAAAACAACCCATGAACTTTATTCTTCCACTCCCACTTCTGCGATTTGCTGGCCGAGCCGTTTACCTCTGTGTACACTTCATGACAGCTACACGATAGATGGGCACACAGGAGCTTATCTAAATCTCACACTTCGCAGCCTTTCTTCTCAGAGCTAATGCCTGGCTGGTGAAGAAAGCTGTAGGACCCGGTCCAGGGAAAGAAGAACCAAGAGCTCCTCGCAGATTAACATGCTCTCATCCTCTCTCTCCAATACATTCACTACTGCCAATTCGGTAGGGATGTGGCAAGGTCCCCTTGCTGCAACACTGTCTACATGTGTTGGTTTAGTCAGTAGGGACTAATGGGAAGGTAAAGAGGCAGAGTGGGTTTGTTGTTTGTGAGAAGTGTTGCTTGGCCAACCCTGCCACGGGAGCGTGGGGCATGGGGCATGCAGCATGGGTGGGGCATCATGGCACTACCTCTGCTCCGGCCACTCCCTGGATAAACTAGGTCCCACTTAAATGTTCCTGTGTAGGGGGACACAGGAAATGTAAAATTACTTTCTCCTGCCAAGCTAGCTGCTCTGCAGTGGGGAGGGAAAGCCTCTGCTCCTCATTTCTTATCCTCAGCGTTCAGTGCTAGCATCTGGGGGATGCCTTTTCCCACTGCCCCTGTCCCACCATAGGGGTGCAGCCCTTTCTCTGGCCACCTGTTAATGGCTTAGCACCTCGTTTGCAACATGGATCTCTCCCTCCATGAACTCACCAGAGAGCTGAGGCTCAGGCAGCCCTCAGACCTTCTGAGCACACCTGGCTCTTGCCCAGCTTGCACTGGGCTGCTGCTGTCATGCTGCCAGCCCTGGGCTTTCCTGCAAAGATGCGGCCATCAAATCCAGGGTGCTATCTCTTTTCCCTGCAACTCTAATTAAATTGCTCATTTAAAAATAAATGAATTGCATTCCTACTATGTTAATTACTTCCTCCTATGTAATGCTCTTCTTCCAATAGACTAAATTGAATTGAGCATACAAACATCCCAGGAAAATAACAACAACAAAAAAACCCCACCAAAACCAAAAAACAAGTAGGATGTAAACAGCTCCAGAAGGGAGAGAGAATGTATTTCCTAACATCTCTAACACCAAAATATAAAGGTATAAAGTAAATGTTATTAAAACCAGAGAAGCAAGCAGTACACATTTTATTGCTATGTTTTCACTTCTTATTTCTTTTTAACAAGAATAAAAAATAAATTGTGCAACCTCCACCAGGAAGTGAGTGGATCTTTGAACTCTGCCATCTGGCTAGTGGAATCTATATTTTCATCGCCTCGGGTTACAGGTTAATCCTGCCAGTTTTTATTATTTGTAGAAGTAGTTCGCCTCTCGGAAGCTTTTATGGTCTCTGTCACAGAGAAGATTGCTGCTGAGCAAAATACATGCACAAAATACTGGGGTCAGTGGAGTGAGGACATTGAGCAGGGAAGAAAAGAGAGAGAGAGGCAAAAAAAAAAAAAGCTAGTTCTGGCTAATCTAAAATTATCCTTTTTATTACCAGAGAAGACATTGCAACATGTGCTGGCAAATTTGCCTCGCATTGCAAGTCAGCACAGACAGGAAGGCTGAGCCTCCCTGCTCATGGTGGAAGTCAAGCCCGAGCATGCCCAGCAGCTGGGGAGCCCCACGTGATGACAACAGCATCCAGCTCCATCTGGTGATGTTCTCCCAGCCCCCCGGGCACTTTTCCATCTAGTCTTGCAAGCAGCTGGATCAATTTACTCTAGCCTACGGTGCGCTGCACAGGCACAGACTGAAATTATTACTCATGGAAATCCCCTCTGTCTCAGTGCTTTGAACAAGGAATCAGGTAGCTTTCAAGCTCCTGACAATTAATAGCCTTTGGTCGAGGGAGAACAGTGCAAACACGCTGGAAGCAATAGGTTTCAAAACAGCTTGCTTAGTTTCTAGTAAATTAAAGGGAGTGGGCGGTTGAGGTACACGGTAATATTATCCAGCACAGTGTGGTCTTCACTGACGTCAGCAGGACATTTTTTTTCCCTCTCTTTCTCTCTCTCTGCCTGTCTCCCAGAAAGAGACACATGGAGGTTAACTCTGTGACAGAAGCATGGCTCATACCACCCGGAGAACCTCCAGTGTTCCATCAACAATGCCAGAGCGCAGATGCTACTATGTTGCAAATGAGCAGCACCAAATTACATGCAAGTCATTTCAGAGGAGAAAAAAGCTGTTGGAAACAGAAATCATGAGGACTTACAGTATGTATTTCTCTTCATGTGACATGATTAACCATCCAGATTAAGACCATTCTCTTCCTGCGGCTAAGAATACATCCTCTTCTCAGATTTTGCTTGAAATAGCGCATTTGTCCACGACCCCTCCCTGCAACTGCTGTGCCCTTCCCAGTATAGCTCTGTGGTGTCTGTGACTGTGTTTTCTCAGTCTCACTAACACATCATTTTCTCTGAGGCCCCTGTACTGTAGGCTGGAGGCATTATACAATAGCTGCCAGCTTTGCATTGAAAATATGCCAATAAGTTCAGCAGAAGAATTCTGCTATGCTTTCAGCACACTTTTCAAAATGTGATTTCTGTGTACAATCATATATGCTTGCAGCCTTTTCATACATACTAATTGTATATCTAATAAAAGGCGGTTGGACAGCAAATAAAAGGATGCACAACACTGAGATGCTGCAGGTAGGAAAACAGACCTAACCTAGGTCTGAAGACATAACCTTCCTGGTGAAACATAACACTACAGTGCCCATATTTTCTGTGTCAAAAATGTGAAACATAGAAAGTGTTTGGGCCAGAATTTTTTTAGGGTTACAAAAGACAAAGGGGACTTTTTTATAACAAAAATGTGTACTGAAGCTGCTGTGCCAGGTTCTGACTCAACACAGACGCATGCATACTCCTCAAAGTGGAAGATTTTTCCAGTAATTGAGTGGACTGAATGAGCTCATCATGACCCACTGAGCAAGTTTTTTTAGTATTTGTTTTGAGCAAGAGAACAGCTTCGATCAGTGTTTGCACTCAGTTGACTTCTCCCCTCTTCCCAAACTTTTGTTGCTCTCATGAAACACCCATTCCATTTGGCTCCTCTTGGTAAAAGGAGCAATTTTTTCCTAAGTGTGGCCTCAGGACTTAAGTAAATATCACTGAAGCATTAAATGTATTAATGAAATGTATTTAATATATTAATGAAATGATACTGCAGGCATTGTCGAGTTGCAGGATCACCAGAGCAGGTAAGGGAGAAGAGTACTGTCCGGGAAAGCCAAGAGATGCAGTTGTTCCACAGAACACTGCAGAGACAGACAGTGCATCCTTGTGCAGGAGGCTGAGGGGAATTTGTGAAAGTGGAAGACCATGAATCACTGCAAACAAATTATGTGATCACCAACTGGCACATTCTTCTTGTCCTTCCATGTCCTGATCTGATTTTGCTATGGTTACCCATGCATCTTGGTAGTATTCTGCCTGCTGCTCTGAGGGGCATTTTTGCTGCTTGTCATTAGGTATGAAACCTAACATGCTGTAAAGGTTGAGGAAAAGGTCTTGAACCAAGTAATTTTTGGCAGGAGTAGCTCTAATTCCCTCAGGGCCACAGCTGCAGATTGGACATTGCTGCAAACACCGCAGTCCTTGTGTGCCTGCCTTTGGGGAACGAGTCACAGATTTTTACAAGTAAATATTGCACAACGTTTTCCTTTTCTGCAGAGTTGCCTGCTGAGGTCCCTTTGACAACAGTGTCTTTCAGGATTCATTTGCACCTTTCATCAGGACATTTTGGAGAAAAAATGGAAGGAATTAATAGCTATCTGTAATTACGCCTCAGATTGGCAGTGCCTGGGGGTGAATGGAGCTCATATCTCCAAGTTGCCATTCCTGAGTTTTAGCCACCAACCTATGCTGCCTTCTTTCTGCAAATGGTAAGTACCTATTGCTTTACACAGTAGGCAAAGACAATTATGCTCTGGACTTTGAAAGAAAAGGAACATTGGTGAATACATAACTCTGCTAAGCAGCACTTTCATTTTAAAGAAAACGCTCTCCCGTTTTCACACCCAAAAGGCACAGCCTGCTTTCTTTCAAGGTCTCACCAAAGAGTAGGAAAGGCACCCCAGAGCCCTGCCTAAACAGCTTTGGGCTCTCCGACTGAGCATTTTAACAACTTAATTGTGGCCACAACAGCCTGCAGCACAATGTGCCCAGCCACGGCAGATGAGGTTGAAAGGAAATCCACAGGTTTCTCCAGTTCTCTTTTTCAGCTATATTTGGAAATGTGGTCAAGCCCAGGTCAGGCTGACCTGCAGAGCTATCTTCAGACAGCCTTTGGCTGCCCTGCCACATGAGAGCAGAGCTTGAGCCCAGGTTTTCAGTTCCAAGCAAGGTGGCCCTGATGGTGAGAAACATAGCCCAGCCTGCTCAGCTTTCGCTGAGGTTGTCCACGTATACTGATTTTGTGGCACAGGATCAAAGGCAGCTGCCAGCTCGTGTCACTCTGGCCACCAAAGAGCTATGGGCTGGTCATGGGTCTGAGCCACTCACACTGCAGGCAAGGCTGAAGGTGGACCTGAAGGTGCACTTGCCTGAAGGTGGGAACGAGACAACCAGGCAGAGCAATGCCCTATTATCTCCAGACAAATGCAAGCAAAAATGTTAACCATCCCATGAGACAAGCCTTTTGTGATTGCCTCTCACTAGCCCTGGTGAGAGACACGGAGAGGGAGAAAGCTGCACATCACAGCCGGCAGGCAAAGAGTCCTTTACAGGGACGCCCCTGAACTATTATTACCATCACTCTCCTTCTTTATAAAGCCTTCAGACAGCTTTCCAAGATGGTATTTTTGTGACCAGACAAAGGTCAGAGTCCCTGCTATGATAAATCAGGCCCGATTCGGAGGCAGGTTCAGCTGACAGAGTCATCTGACCAGCGCAGCTGTGCACAAACCCTGAACCAGTTCCCTTCCTATGTCTCTGTCAGGCTGGGCACGAAGCTCAGACATCTGCTAGTTCCTGAATTACAGCGTGCACGCAATAACGGACGTGCCCTGCTCGGGGAAGCTTGTGTTTATTATTCTCCAAGCTTTGCATCAACTACACACACAACCAGACCGCAGCGTCCGGTCACCAAATCTGCTGTGTGCAGCTGCTTTGGCTGCAAAAATGAATGGTGACTTCGTAAGCCTGTGGCTTCCCTAGCAAAAAAAAAAAAAAAAAAAGGAAAAAGTTTGCATTTCTCCTTTTCTGTGTTGCCAAATCCTTCCCTTTGAGAAACTACGCAAAGTGCTGCTTAAGTAGCCTCACACCTGTAAGGGAGGCAGCAGGCACAGCTCATATCACCCACAGTCCACAGCTCTGCTAATGTCCAGCAGAAATGCTTGGGGATGGTTCACAGCCACCTGGTGAGGGCCAGTGCATGGAAGTGCTGCCTGGGTTTTGGGAGGATTGATGTAAACAGTGAGCCAGTGCAAGGACAGCTGGCCCTGCACCGCTTCCCACAACATGTCCTGGGCTTGTGCTATCGTGCCAGCCTGGGCATCAGTGCGCCCCCCAGCCCTGCTCCCACGCCTGTGCCTGCCTACTGAGGGGCATTTTGTGTTTCTCCGCTATGCTGCCCTGCTGAGCAGCTCTGAATCATCCCCTGCACCAGCGGGCAGGAAACTGCGGCTGCCAGGCCCCCAGTGAGCTGTGCGCAATGCCAGGGTGCCCCTCCAGACCCAAAAATGCCAACGTTGGGCTGAGCAGCAGCTGGGGTCCCCCCACAGCCAATACCAGGGTCCAGGGTGAGCTCACAGCTCACAGCTGTTGTCCCACAAATGAAGCTGAAATCCCCTTCTGCCAGCACCACCGAGCTGCACCACTTTGACCTTTTCAGGGAAATCTGCCTGGACATTTTGGCTCTGCCCCCCTAGCAGCCACAGCAGAGGGGGAGCTGAGCTGGCCAGCTTGCAGGGCTGACCCCACTGTAAAGGTCAGAGAGGCACAGCCTGCCCCACCACTCAGGGGCTGCCAAGCCTGCAAACTCAGCTGTTGTCTTCCTGTGACTACGGCTGCCATCACTGCTTGGAAAGGATACAAGTGCGACCCTGGTATTACAGCAGTTTGGAGATCGTAAGGCCATGGTCTCAGATGGGCTCTCAGAAGCAGGCAGGGTGCTCTGTGCTGGCTCCTTCCCAGGGAAAACTGAGAAGGGTCTGCACAAGAAGCTGCTTTTAGGGCTGATCACTTCTCAAAGCTACCTACTCCCAACTCAAAGGGCCAGGCCTTGTGATCCACATAAGCCATTTGTGTCTGCTTGAAAGAAACAGTAAAAATCCCCAGAGACTCAGAAATTGTAAAGACACAGCAAAAAAGCCCAAAACTTCAAGCCTGTGAGCACCACTCCCAAGCATACACAAATTGCTTCCATATTTTACATGTTTTGAAGAGTGTGTGTGTACACTTTGTAAATCAGCAAGCTTGACCCTGAAGCCATCCAAAACTTATGATCAAAAACTTCTGAGTTTTTGAGGTTCAGGTGACATCATTCTCCAAAGGGTTGCTTCATCTAAGTCAAAAAAAAGGTAGGAATTTTTGAAGCAGAGTAACAGAAGCCCTGAAAGCATGTTTTCTGTGCTAGGAAACACAATGCATAATGAGAACACACACAATCCCCTCAGTATAAGTGAGAAGCAAAGCAGCCCCCTTTTTCTGCGCTTACAGGGCTAAAATGATGTGCAGACAGAAACCCCACTACCTGTGATGTTTGAGTGTTCAGAAACAAAATCTGTCCCATGACGTCTGTGCCTTTTGTCTAGCCTCCTGTACCTCTGCATCCAGTTTGGAGATCACAGGCATGGCATGGAGACATGGCTGAGGGGGTGCTGCCACCCAAGTGCTTCTGTAGTGCCCCTCACTGTAGTGCCCCTGGGTCCTTCAAGGACAACAAGATCCCTCTGACCCCCGTCATACCCTAGTCAGGTACAGAAATGTAGTGATCCCCATTTCCAGCAGAGAACTGAAGACAAAGACCCCAAGGACTCGCTCTGGGGCAATTATGGTTCCCATCCCACCTATCTGCCTTGTCCAGGCACTGTGGATTTCTGCCAACACTGCTGAACTGCTGTGGTTGACGCTTTGGTGTGTCAAAGTTGCCCGGTACCAATTTCAGTCTATAACATCCCAAAAACGTTAGGCTGTGGCCACTACCAAGAGAGCTCAGGTTTGCTCCCTTACCTCAGCAGCAGTCCTAAGGGCTGAGGCTGTGAGAGCAAGTCATGCAGTCCAACAGGAGCAGATTGGTAGGGCAAAGCACTTGGGAACTGAGGATATTACACCCATGTAGCACATCTTTTAGGAGGGGTTGTATCAGACTAGCTGCAGTTTGGCTCAGTGAACTGAGCTGGGAAGCAGATGGGGTGTTTCTGGGGAGCATTTTCCAGTTTAGTCTCCTCCACCAGAAACCCAGCCTATATACTGCGAGGTCACCCCACAAGGTGAACAGAAGTGGAGTGTGTGGGAGCAACCAGGACATTTGCTCAAAAGGGCATCTCCAGCCTGAACTGAGCCAGTAACGCAGGGACTTCCAGCTCATCCATCTGCCCTGGGCACGGAAGTGGAAGATCCCCATTGCCACTCTTACCAAATGCTAAGGGATTTGTATGAGCAACTTAGGCGGACAAGGCATCCTGACACAAGGCACAAGCACAGAGGGTGCTGGCTGAGAAGAGGAAGAAGGGGAAATATGTTTAGAACAACGTGCTTACAAATGCTGCAGAGGAGGGTGGGCACAGTGACAGCCGCTCCCTGTGCACACTGGGATCCCAAGGGACAGGACAAAGTTTTCCCCGCCATCCCATGTCATCCCCATTTCCATTCCCAGCCCACACTGTGCTCCAACAGGCTGTGGTGACAGAGGAGAGAGGTGCTCCTCAACCTACAGCTGAGGAAAGGCCTGCACATGGGAGTGGAGGTGGTGCAGCAGGGTCATCCAGCTCAGCCCCAGGCTCCTCTGGGAGAAGGCGGTTGGGCGGGCTGGCCTGCAGCCCAGGCAGCTCCAGAAAGGATATGAAACCCCATCATTGTGAAAGCAGGAGGTGACAGTTCATGCTAAGGCAAGGGGCTCCAGAGTGATCTTACTGCCAGCATAAGGTGCAGCATGCTGCTACTCTGCACCTCCTTAGAGCTCTCTCCCAGGCAAAAGCAGCCACAGCCAGGCTCCAGGAGTGTTGTCCCTCTCCACTAGCTGGGGCAGCTGACAGCATGGCCAAGACCTTCAGGACTTGTCATATCTCCATCTTTAGAGTGAAGAATAAAGAGAGGAAGATAAAGGCCAATATTTGTGACAAAAAAAGGGGGTGTAAAATCCTGAAGGTCCCAGGTAGCACTAGTGTGGAATTCCATGAAAAAGCAGGGCCATCTCAAACAGCCAGATGCCTATGAAATGTTATTTCTGGATACCGCTTCAGAACTGACTTGGAGGGAAGTGTGACATTTACTGAGTCACCTCCACCACTTCCTGCAGCACCTGGAGCTTACTTCAAGGGCTCTCATTTAGATACTGAGAATTTGCTCACTGTTCAGGCTGAAAATAACACCGTTTACTTTTTTTTTAAAAAAAGCTCTGCTGAAAGCATGATCTGTGATGCAACAGCCTCCAGTGCAGCCCAGTCCCCATGTGCAGTTCACACAGCACAATGAAAAAGCAATTTAGAAGTCGTCAGTCACCTGGTACTTCTCCCAGGAGGTAATCAGCAACATCTAGCTGCTTTGCCCTTGGATCCAGCAACAGGCAACAAAACTTTCTTTTTCCAAGCCACCCAAACCTGCAAACCACCAAATGCTGCATCCTGAACACTGATGGAGGTTTTCGCCACTTCCTCTGACTACACCAGTAAGCTGCGGCCTTCTCAGCCTCCAATATATGCTGCAGCAGCTGCACCGTGAACTGAAATAATTTTGAAGGACAGCTCTGAATCTCTGCCTTTATGAAGAGTCATTCAAGGCTCCTGTGTTCCTGCTTGTTCCTGCCAGAGCCCTCTGGGGCTCAGGATGCACAGCCTCAAAGTGCAAGCAACTTCAGAGAAGAGGAATTGAAAAGAAAAGCCAAATCTAATTTAAAAAAGAAACCAACCAAACACGCAAATATATCTTTAGTTTCATATATAAATTATTTTTGCACATTTTGTCTGTATTTAAATACTCCCCTTACTGGGGATGTAAAACTCTGATGAATTCATTGTGTATAAAACCATTTAGGCTTTAAGCACTCTTGCTTTGATATACAGTTTGTTAATAAGGAAAGGACATATTTTCTCCCTTGGTATTACAGAATTTACACAACATTTCACATCCAATCCAAAAATATTTGTGGTGTTTCTTTCAAAAGTTGAAGCTGGATAAAGGATATTTTGTCCTTCCAAAGACAAAACCTTTCATTAAATGCCGTTACAATTGCAAAGGATCAGCCATCGAAACCCAAGTGTCTTTGTTGGCAGCGCATCCATTAAAACAACTCCTCGAACAGGATATGACATGTGAATGTTTAGTCTGTGGAAAAAAAAGAAGAAAGCAAAAAAAGTGTCAAATGTCAAAATGTAGAAATGTCAAAGGTGAAAGAGGAACTGGGTTGTTTGCTGTTAGAAATGCCTCCTCTTGCATCACACTGGCCTGTGAGAGCCATGCACGCAGAAGGACCATGGAAGTTCTAGGAAAGGATGAAAAACCTTCCTTTCTTGTGAAATACACAGTTTTCTCAGGGACCATTCCAACTCAGAGTCAGACAGGAGTAAAAGTGCAAAGCTGTCTGAGGAGAGCTGCAAAACCATGTTTTTCTGCCCGTGCATTTTGATGGGAAGGCCCCTGGGACCTGCTGCACAGCAGCTCTGCAGCACAGCAGTGCAAGGGAGAACAGTGTTTGCCAAGCCAAGAGCAAACCCACCAGAGCAGACACTGTGTCGATGCTCTGCCTGCTCCAGGGCTTTGGGCAGACTCTAAATTTAAGGGGATAGTTCATTTGTTTCCACTCTCTCCTTTGTTTCTCTAATCTGGGATACTGAGCAAAAGGCACGGAAAAACGTAATGTGGACAATAAACTACCTATTTAAAAAAATTAATACTATGCCTCCAGGGCCTGGGAGGTTTCACACAGGTACACAACTGGACATTCAGTTCTGAAAAATGAGATTGGACAGAGTAAAACAAAATTATCTTCTTTCCAGCTGGACATATTTTACAGCCTTTCTGTCTGCTATATTAAATAGAAGACAGGAAAGACCAGTTGGGATGTGCACTCAAGATGAGATCTTCTGATTATCCCTTTTTTCCTCTTTCTACTCATAAACCTGGGGATTTTGTTCAGCCAGCCTTTGAAATCTCATTGCAGGCTGAGGCTGGTTATGAACCAAAACAAGGAGAGGGCTGTTGTGGACAACTGTGCTTGCTTTCTGTGGGATTTGTTGGAAGAAGAGGCATGCTGCATTTTTACTGGAAGGGATGATTAATCATCTAGAAGATGCAAACACAGAGAAAAGAAATAGTATCTGTTGAGACACTTCCAGCTGTATGTCCATCCTGCCCCTTGACCAGCATCTGCCTGGCCTTGCGGGCAGGCTCAGCACCCAATGGTCTCCAGGGCTCTAAAACACATGAGGCTGCAGGGGAACAGCTGGGTGCCAGAGACAGGCACCTCCCGTGCCACCGCCAAGGCAGCAAGATCCTGCACACTGCCACATTCTTCATAAAATTACAAAAAGTGTTAATTTATAGCAAATCCTACCCAATTAAAGACGATAAAGCTCTGCAGTTAATCAAGCTGATTAAATGAATTAAACTTGTTAAGAACAGTTTTATCAAAACATTTACATTTCTGCTGAGCAGAGATTCATGTGACTTTGAGCTGCAAAGTACACAGTTGCCATGAGAGGACTGAAAAGAGGATTGGGAACATTAACCATGTAAAAATCAAGTCTACCTCTGCATCTCCCAGCATTCATTTAAACAAAAGAGCTTCTTGGCCCATTAATTTCATCATTGTGTCAGGTATCTTCTACTTCCTGGAAAGAGAGGCATTGCTTACTCACTGTGGGAGGCGACACGTGTCCAAAGGGGGGGAATTCGTCCCTGCCTTATGAAACATCTCCAAGACAATGTGTTGCAAGAGGTTCTGGGAGAGCAGCATCCCTCATCCAGCCCATGGTGTGCCCCCATGGCATGTGTTCAGGTAAAACAATGGCCTCATCTCCTGGGTCTGAGAGCACCTGTAGAAGAAACACATATGTAAGAGTACATAACACAAACGTTTCCATAGCTGTCTGAAAGATTAAAGTAAAACAGCAGGAGATATTTTCCTTACATATAAGTCTGCTCAGCTTTAGTCCCCACAGAGATGGGTTCAATAAAGGCTTTAAATGCTTAACTTCTTAATTTAGACACTCATCTTTAGCTGTTAGCCAACCATGGAGAAGTGTACTGCTGACAGCTACTTGAAGTTCCTCCAGTATCCTACATCCTTCAGAAGAGAGCAGAGCAGGTTGGTGGTGACATTCCATTTACCTGTGCCACATCAGGACCCATCAGCAACCTGTCCTCCCAGAGCCTCACTTGATGGGGCTAAGCTGGGAGTAGACAGACCTGTAATGGCTGAACACAGGCTTAGCTGAGGTTGAAGGTTTTCTCTGAGCTTATGGAAAGAGAGAGGCACCCTTACACAGCACTCCACACCTATTTTAAAATAAAAAACCTGTGGGGGAGAGAGATGACTGTCTCTCTGCTAACTGTAGAACAACTCATGATGAGGGGACTGAATGCCTCACTTATGGACAGCTCGAATAAAATCATGTCCTTAAATATTCCCGGCAATATAAACACCAACTGGATAACAAACCATGGCTAGGAACAGGGCGTCTAACCACACAGCACCAAGTATGCCTGCTTGCCAAAAGGGCAGTCGTCACATCCATGCAGAAGGCAGGTTAGTGTGGGCTTCAGATCCTTCTCAAATATTTAGCCCACCTCATTGATGGGTTTTCTTTGCTGCTGCAACATGCACTGCTCTCCATGGCAGGTAGTTTGAACATTGTAAGTAGCACTGCACCCACAATAGTTTCCTACCAAATGAGGATTTAAATAGTGAGAGTGCATAATCCCAACTAAAAAGGCATTAGGAGTAGGCCTTCCCCTTTCTCTCAATGAGCATATTTAGAAGATCTGCAACTTCAGCATTTTGCAGAGAGTTCTGCTAAGGCAAAGACAAACTTGGCATTGGCACTCCATCTTCTGTGCCATATGCTTCATTCATCTGAGAGTTGTTTTTCCTGCAGGGGAGGGTGGATTGGCACGTATGGAAATTCATTAAAATTATTTTGTTTGGTTCTTTGTGCTGGCCACCATCTCCATTTTAATTTTTATTTCTCATGCCCAGAATAATCTCAAAACAAAGACAACTTCTCCTGAAGCACAATAAATATTCTCAAAAGCAGTGTCTGAAAGGCCATGCTCCTTGGATGAGCCTGTAAAGGTTACAAGTTGTGGCTGGAGTATTTCTAAAGAGGGTGATAGAAACCAAGAGACTGAAAATAAAAGTAACACATGTTAAGAAACCAAATATACTGACATGCCACGTAACTACCTGGGTATTGGCAAAAGTACCGTCTGTTTATGTGCAAGCCACTTCCCTGGTTTTGCAACAACAAGTCTCTCAAATGATGCTTATACTGAGTTACCTATTCCATTTTTCACTGCTTGTCAGATAAATGGCAGCTTTTTTAATAGGAAGACAGACGTTTGATTATTTTAGGTTCAGGGATTCTGGCCAATTCCTTCCCAAAAGTGGCTAGGGTTGAATAGCCAAAGAAAATTTATGCATTTAAACTTAATGATGCTTAAACACTGCAAGTAACAACACAGAAATGGACAGAAGCCTGAGGGGTAGCAGAAATCTCCAAGAAAAGGACTTTTCTGTTCAGACAAACTGCCAGCAGCTCCTGATAGCGGCCATTATGATTGTATTTCCATGTTCTGCCTTTTAAAAGTATATATTATTTTCAGTTAAAAAGAAGTCTGAATTCATTTTTGGAGTCCTGTGATGTTTCTGCACCTAATGGTTTCCAGGTCTCTCCATAGGCTGTAGCTAGCTTTTGTTTATCCATACAAGACAAAGTTTTGAAGAGTTCAGATCTCAAAAGCAGAAAAAATAACTCATGACCCACAGGCAAACAGAGTGGGACATTTTGCTCCACAGCTTTGGAGAAGCTTCCCGCTCGCTGCTGGTTTAACGCAATGTACTGGGGAGCTACACTGACAAAGACCTTTTGTTCCACCCTTTCCCTGTTGAGGTTAGGTACAAACCCCATTCTATTTCCACTTCTAATGCCTGCAGAGAAGAAATAGTCAATAAGGTTTCATAAGAAAGATGAAATCTGCACAGACATCCTAGTAAATGCTCTTCAGGTAGTGCATGTTTCACACAGGTTGGCGTTAGATGTCATTTGCAGATTAGGTTGAAATTGGGTCTTTTCACATCCTAATGTACACTGAATATAAAAATGAAATGTCACCTGCACACACAAAGTGCATACACCATTCCAAAGCATATATACCTGTTCAAACAATTAGCTCTTAAAACCTCTGCATGAGTTTCAGCAGAATACATTAGTGCTGAGAATAACCAAGGACTGAACTTCTCCAGAGGAGCCTTGCTCACCATTTTAATGCCACTCTCTTTCCATGCAACCAAACTGTCAGCCTGCTCAGACCCCAGGGAGTGTCCACTGTGGCTGTGAATGGAAAGATATCATTATGAATTATGAAAATGTAAAACATTTCTTTTTTTTTTCCTTTTTTACAGGGTTGTTTTGGATGCAGCAATGAGGAAGAGTGCATGAACTTCAGTCTCTAGTTATGATTTCAAACTCACAAAAAAATCTGTGAAATGGGGGATTGGAAAGGAAAACAGCAATTAACAGCTCCTGACTAGGACATGAGCAATGCCAGAAAACATTCAGAAAAATAACCCATGGCAGTTGCTGAAAGGGGCCTATCAAATGGATAAGAGGGAGTAGCAAACTAGATGCTGGTGTATAAAATGAGAGGGTCTGATTTTGACCTGCAGAGAGGTGAAGAACATTGTATCACAGAAGAGAAGGGAGATGGCTTCTCTCTGCAGGGTGCTGCTGAGTCTGAGCCATCCTCTGAACAGAGAAAGCAACTGCAGGCATTCGTGTGTCAAGAAGACATCATATTGTAAAGAATTCAACAATGAACAACAATCAAATAACTAAAGGGAAGATTAAATAACTAAATAGTACAGTTTGGATAAGTAAATCCCTAAGAAGAAGATAAAATCATTTGAAGGTGTCAACATCAAGGAGAGAGTACTGTTTACACAGCTCTAGATAAAGCGTAACAAGAAAGGAAAATACCTTTTCCTGCAGAAAGGGAAAATGCAGACTGGCAGTAAGAACTGCTAACCTGCTGCTGCTGACCTTCACAGCCCTTTCAACCCCCTACTAAAACCTCTGTTGGTGTAGAGGATGTCAGGTGAGCACCCAGGAGTGCTCAGAGCCACTATAGCAACATCTTTCTGCAAAGCAGAAAGCTTTGCACATGTCATGTGTGCTGCACACCAGCAGGTAAGGGCCAGCATTACCATCCCTCTGCACCTCTGCCTCCTACAGGGAAAGAGAAATCCAAAGTGTTTCTCTCATGCTTCACCATCACTCAAATGCATTTGATTCAACAGCAAAACACAAAGTCCAGTAAGTCTATAAAACAGCCAGTCCACGCTTGAAGCCTGCAAATGCCACATTACAAGCTCAGGTATTTGCCTATAGCAATCAGCTAACCGGGTGCGTAGCAGCAAGATTTCATGTGCTCATGTACATGTTTTCTGGTGTGGCCATCCACAGAGGCAAAGTTTCTCATTTCCCCCTGTGAGCGCTGTCTGCATTTGTTTAACTCTTCCCATTAATGATGACTCGCTCAAGCTCAAATACACCATGCTGGATGGTTGCCTCAGGCAGCCTCTTTTGCTAATTTTTAGCTAAAATAATTCAACCGCCTCCTAGAATAAGATTAGGAAGATATATGTTAGCTTGCTCTGTTCAAATCAAGAGATTAAACATGTCTATCTTCAGAGGCTGATACTGATAGACAGAGCCAGGGAAGGAGGATGTGCCTTCTCAAGGGTCCTAGGTTTTCTCATTTGTGGTCAAGTTACAAGTTATACAAGGCTTCACTCTGCACCTGCCTCATGGGGGTTTGTTTGAATTTGGTAGATAATTTAACTGAGGACTCCATCTGTTTTGGCCTTGCTGCAGGCCAGGGACACAGGTGCTGCCTACCATCCCCAGTGCTGACAGCTGGAGTCTGCTGTGGCCTGAAGGTGAAGCAGGGATCCTCTCGTCCTGCACAGCTGCAATAAGGCAGGACAAAGACCTTTCCCCATACAGCCTCCACTCCCTTGCCGAGAACTGTCTGCCCTGGGTATTAAAAGAGGTAGAGCTGTTGTGGGGAAAAACAAATATTTACATATGCATTTGATCCTACAGCTAAAAGCAGCCCTATCATGATGCCTGTGCAGATGGGACTCAGGTGGCAAGGGCAGTGTTAAATCAGGCGTTTCTAGCTGTCCAGTGCTTGACCCTACAAGCTTCCCATACTTTCAATCTACGTCAAATTTGTGTCATCTCCTTGATTTGCAGATGGCAAACTGAAATAAAAATGCAGGAATCCCATCATGTGGCATCATACTGTCTACCTCATGACTCACTGGCAGAACTGGCTCTTATTCTCAGCTGTTAATTCCATCATGCTTGAAAAGCAGATTAGCTGGGAATACTAATAGCCCTACAGCCTCTGCTGAAGGAGCAGGCAGAACTCATCCACAGCCTGCACCAATAGCTTCCCCAAATATTTGCTGACAACAGACACCTACTGTGCTACAGAAATCCCTGCGTTGGCTGTGTCCCAGGTTCTGCAGGAGGTATGATCTGATGAGGAGATATATTCCCAAATCTGACTCCTCCTGCCCCTCCTGGTCCTTTCAGCCTGTCTTCTGCTTTGGTCCTGCTCCCACATCTACTTCAACACCTGTCATTAGTTCCCCTCTCCAGGCAGGGGGTCCTCAGCCCTTGTGCTGCAGTAGGGCTCCCTCTCTCCTTCCCTTCCTCCCTCGGCAAGGTCCAGCCCTAGTCAACATCAGCTGTCCTGCATGTTCATTAAAGTATCAGCAAAGGAGCACATCCAAGAGTATCTCCAGCACTACAGTGACCCTGCCAGCACAGAAAAACAAGGTCAAAGAGCTGCTGCTCTGCACCTGCAGCAGGAGGCTGCTCTGTGCCGGCCACACCATTGTCTGTGATTTAGCCACCAGATTTGAACAAGTTTCCACTGAGCAAGTGTCTTCAGAGAATTCAGATTCTAACTCTTAAGAAGCTTCTGTTGAGTGTCTGAGATCTGAGGCTTCTTTTAGTTCCTAAGGTTTCTCAGTTCAACTTATTTTTTTCCCCCATGAAAAACAACCAAAGGTGCGTTCCTGATATCTGCCAAATTTCAAGCCTCTTCCTTAGAGGCAGAAAGTGCTAGAGTTTCTCAACAGATCACTTTAAGAACATGTTTGAATATGAAGAAAAAAAATTGTTTCTCTCATCTCTTTCTTGTAAGCAAGTAAAAATGTTTTTTGCTGAAGCTTCCCAGATGCATTCAGCCTGAGACAGATACTCAGAACAGAAAAAACCAGCTAAGCAGTAGACAGATAACGTTTTCGGGGTTTACAAGCAACTAAATATTTGGTCTTATAAATGTTGGATAGCCTTAAAAACAGACAGAGGCATCAAAGTCATCAAGTACATGTAATTTAAACTGAGCTTCTGCTGAGTCAGGAGGGGAGAAACAGAAAATACATGAATTTGATGGTAATTTCCCCAAATTTGTGACTGCTTTTGTACTTTCTAAGAAGACTGTGGTGAAGAGATTTGCGTCCTTTGGAGGTGCCTGTGCTCTGCCACAAGCTGCCTGGGCAGAGGCTAAATGAGCTTGGCAGGTGACTCTCCCCTAGGATCTCCACTGGCTCTCCATGAGCCCACTCTGGGATCTGGAGCTGTATCTCCCCCTTTTCCCAGCACTCATAGACCTCTGGGGAAGGCTACTCATTCTACAGGGGCACCATGGGGATGCAGGTGCCAAGCATATCTGTTGCATTGCTCAGAGCTCAGTTGGGAGCCAGGCACAGAGTGCTGCTGAGCTGTGTAGGGGAGCAAGGGCCCCAGCTTTTCGGGTTTATTGTGCATCTGTGGATTATTTAGAGCCTGGAGTAATGGGCACCCTCAGTGAAGGGTGCTATCAAAAAAAGGGAAAGCTGTGAGTCGTTGTTATTTCAGATCAGGTCAGGAAGGTCTCATCACTTCACAATGACGCTACGGCATGAACTAACCAAGCTGAGCCTCACCCCCTCTCTCAGTCTGTCACTCTGCTGAGCATTTCCACTTCTACATCACACACACACAGAGGCTTTCCCTGCACAGGGCCATCCCACCAGTACACACCATGGCACCATACCTCTATCAGGCCACTCTTGCTCAGGAAGCATCTGTGCAGTATGTGTGATCCTTTGCCACTCCATTTTCAAAGCACAGGCACAACCTATTCCCCATTTGTTTATGCAGACATGAGTAGGTAGCAGGGAACAGGTCTGCAGGCAGATAGGTCCCTTCCCTTCCCGCCTCCCACTCTTTCCCAAGAATGCCCCCAGCATGCTTGCATCTGCAGCAGAGCCACAGCAGCTGACAAAACACCTGTCTCCCTGTTCCAGGGATGATTTTGCCTGTGACTGACAAGCAGGCACTGGTGTTTCACAGTGCTGCTCTTCAAACCACTCTTTCATAGACACGCCATGATTCCTGATCCTTGTGAATGGGAGCCCACTTATTAATTTTTGCTGACAGCAACAGAAAGGAGTACAGGGGGTGCACAGGGGGGAAGAGAGAAGTATGTTTTAATTTCTCTGCTTTTGGCTTTGTCTGAGAAATACAGAAAAGCTGCCCCTACCCAAAGAAGATGGTGTGGCCACTGTCGTGGCAGCAAGGGAGTGAACAAGAGGGCCTGTGAGCCCAGTAGTGCAGTGGCATCTCTAGGTGTAGGGAACCCATGCACAAGTTTTCATATGAATAATTAAAACCCAAGCCTCCTCACTCTTCTCCACTTTCCAGTCCCTCCTCCTGTTTTCCCTATAATTCCATTTTCCTCTCTCTCGCTTCTTTCCACTGCCATTTTACAGATATTATTGTTCCTTTGGCGAAGAGCATCCCTATGCTGAGATGATGAGTTTATAAGGCAGAGGGCTGCAGCAAACGCCTCGTGAAGCCCAGCCAGCAGCCCCCAGCCCCCTTCCTCCCCTCCTCAAAGTTCACACGGTTTAGTATGCAAGCTTCCTGCTGCCTGCCCAGCCAGCTCACTATTCACAGGCAAACTGCGCTCCTCCGCTTGGCTCCCAAAGAAGAATAAGTATAAAAAGCCCTGAAAGTCTTGCTGCTGAGCCAGCAGGAAACTCAAACTGCTCTGAGCATGGGAACCAAGAGAACCGCTGTGGCCAGCACAACAGGTATTGTTTGGGAGGAAATCCCGGCAGCAGACATGACTGCCTACACACACACACACACACACACACACATATATATATGCTTAGTGAGGGTTTGGCAAAAGGGAAGGCTGGGGAAGTGTACAAGGAGAGAAGAATAGATTAGCAGCTATATCCAAAAAAGAGTAAGAGCTGCTCAGACAAGAAAAACAGCTATTTCACTAGCCAATGAACTGACCCATTTGCCACACATACAAACCACGTGGGACCTCAAGTGATGTCTCTGGCCAAGGTCTCTTGACAGGTCTTTCTATGTCCTTGTTTTAGTTTGCATCAGGAGCGAGTTCTTGAGGCACATGCCCTGTTTGTCCCACTTGCCACATTTTGCTTTATGTCAGGGAGCAATTTTTAAACTGAATTCCCTTTGAGTGAAAGAAAACCAGGAGATGGACCCCAGGAGCATAACTCCTGCACTCCAGCCTCTAATGAGCGTCTGGTCCCTGGGAATCAGAACTGAGGCAAACCAGTGAACTGGTGTAAATCCCCTGACATACCAAGTCCTTGGCACAAAACAGCCACCTCTGTGGATCTGCTTCCTGCTGCATCACACCAGCTGCTGACATAGGCACAGTTTATCTGCAAATATGGTAAATTTGAGTGCAAAAAAGAGAAGGAAGAAGGAAAAGCTTGAGTTATGTAACTTCTTTTCTCACCAAAAAGTGATTAAAAGCTGTGGTAAAACAGCTCACAAATGTCACATTCACAAGGAGTCATAACAAGAAGTTTGACAAGACAAGACTTGGTAATCTAGAAGTATTTTAATTATATATCTTACAGTCTTTCTTGTTAGAGATGCTCTAAAGAAATAAACCTGAGAGCAACAGGTCATCCCACCCAAGTCAGCACCTCTTGCAACCATTCCAAAGAGCAGCAGCTGTGAAAATCCCAGATTACAGAATGTGTGGCCCCGAGTCTCATCACCATAAGGAGATGGCTAGAAGAGCAACACACATGCCTTGGAAAGCGAGAAAGCATGCAAAACGAAAGGGCCCAACTTTAAGTCAACATGAAGACATGCAAGTGACAGACCATCCTTATGGGATGGATTTTTGTAACCCAAATAGTCCAAACTGAACAGCATTATGAACCCTACTGGTCAAATGCCCAACAGTTACACATGGCCACGTTTCTGAACTGCTTTAAAGCTTTCTGCATTAGGATTTTACTCACCACATAGAAAGGGGTTGGCTGTGAAAGTTAGATCTGGACTGAGCTTCAGTGTCCTCATATGGCTCTTTTTGGGGAAGAAGAGGGAAGTTGAGCTGGGGTTGTGTTCTGGCCCCACTCCAGTTGTAGAAGCATAATGGAGCAGCATCTGTGCAACTGGGTTCATTCCTTTAATTTCGTTAGACAATTTTGGGATAGGAAATGTCAATGCACAGGCTTGTTTTGGATAAACACCAAAAAGCAGTTTGGGAACCTGGCTGAAACAAGCTGATTCTCCGGAGTCTGTAACACCAGTGGAAAATGTGGGTAAGAGCTTACCTCTGCTATTAGCAGCTTTCCCATAATAGGTTTTTCCTGTGCTATATGGGAGCTCCAGGATACTCAGGACTTCTGCAGTGCTCCTACCTCTGAAGATCCACTGCGGAGTCAGGAACCTCCTGAGAGAGGGAGAATCCGAACTCTTACCTACTGGGCTCCCAAAAGAAAAAAATAAATGTATCTTAACACTGTGCTAACTGCCTTAGTGACCCCGGCATGGGCACTGAGCAGTGATGAAGGCTGGTCAGCTATCAAGAGCCAAGCGGTAGGAAAGGCAGTTGGTTTGTGCACAGATAACCTGGGATGTTCAGAGCAGCCACATAGAGTCAAGAATGGAAAATGTGAACAGTCCTTTGTGGCAGATGGGACAGAGTCACATGCAGAAGATTTTAGTCAGCAGTGCAAAGCTCAGAGCTTTCCACCAGCATTTCTCCCTGCTATAGCCTCCTGGAAGAAAACAAAGCAGAGCCCCAGGGATCAGCAGCCCCTTGGCCCCCTGGAGCTCCTTGGTTTCCAGCCTGTAGGGTGGTGACATGAAGCAGAAGCACTCACTCCTCTCCTCATCTGTCCCCACTCAAAGGGCACTTTGAGGAAAGGGAATTAGACTATAGCACAGCACTTCTGCACAGCAGATGGGCTACATTGTGGAACACTTCTGCCCCAGGTAGCGTTGCATGCACACTGCATCCAGCTGTGTGGCTTCCCCTTACCTTTGAACATGTGTAAGTGTAGTGCTGGTCACAGGGAGCAAATGAGTAGCCCAGAGCATCCCAGGTCTCTGCAGGATGAGCAGAGAACAGTCCATGCCACTGCAAGAGCAATGGTCATTGTGTCATCCATGTCCTCCCACATGAACCATAGGAACTGAGGGAGCAGGACCTGTGACAGGTCTGAAAAGATAACTCACCTCCCCAGGGCTCAGAAACAGAGGAGAAGGGGTAAACCCTCCCAGCAGCAGGCTCTCACACACAGCCTTGGCACCGCGCCTCCCTGTTGACCAGGAAAATTGGCTGCCGTTACGTAGAGCCCCATTCAGTCTCACAGGCCCATTCAGTGCATTGCCTGGTGGGTGGACTGCCAGGGAGTAGGTCACCCATTAACAGACTCTGTAAGCACTGCACACATGGTCCCTTGCATTCACTACCCAGGGTGGGACATCCGTCAGCAGCTTCAGGGAGAAAAGACCTGCGTGTTCACTGGTGTTTGTTACGGGAGTCCAAAGAGAACAAAATTGTAAAGCAAGACAATACTTCTAAGTTGAGGGGAACATTTCTTCCTCCATTAATTATTTCCCATGCTATTCCTGGCAGTGACCTTCACTGGGAAGGAAAAAAACCAAGATTTGTTTTTATATCTTTTATTTGACTTCCTATACTAAAGCCCCTGGCTAGAATGACTCACACTTATATCAGCCATCACATTACGCTATATGAGTGCTGCTACCTGTCTTGTCTTCTTCACCATTAAGGTTTGTTAGCATTAAACCAGGCAATTTGCAGCTCTATTTAAAGATACCTGCCTCAGTGGCAAGTGTCCATAACACCCTTGTTTCATCTTTGGAAGTAACATCGTGAAGACTGCATTTGAGACTGCTGGCAATCTGCCCCAGATTGAAGGGAAATTTTTCTGGTTCTGTGCAGAGAAGTGTTTGCCCGTTGCAGACCAGGCATCTCTTCTCCAACCATTTACAATGAAATTGCTTATGTGCATCACTGTCCTGTTACATACCCACTTGCCCCTTTAGAGATTCCTGGTGTTATTTCTGCTCCCTGCATGCAACAGAGCTGCACGGTGACACTACAGCCCCAGGGAGGCAGCGAATATTACCTCTCTGGTTGCAGGGATTACCCTCATGGTTCCTCATCTGTCATTGGCCCAGCTTCCCCTGCCTGACAATTTAAAGGGTTGAGAAGAAACTCCAACAGGAGTCTCATGCCCCTCCCACAGACCTTCCCATGGAAGGCAGTGGGTTGGTCCTTGGTGTCTCATTTCATTCACACTTGCTTTCTTCCTCTGCTTTACACAGTGCTCATAAATCATCACCTTTTGCATGAAAGGGGCACTTGCAAGCAGGTTACCTTCCAGATTTTATTTTTTTTAAAAAATGGGCATTCAGATTGCAGCAATGGCCTGTCTCCTGCCAGAACTGACACCATACTGTGCCAGGAGCTGTGTGAGTGTCCAGGAATAGTCCTAGTAGCCCTCAGCTGCTTCCAGCTGAGAAGTGAAGCAGTCTACAAGTTAAAAGAAAAATGTCAGATGTTTTAACACAGTGACATAACTGAAAAAGAGTTTGATCTTCATCCTGCAGAATCCCAAGGAATCCTAGTCAAAATGTAGCCATCCCACGGAGACATCCCACATTTTTGTCTCCCTCACAAATGCTGTTGTTATGTGTCCACCACTGCTTAGAGACCCTGACCTGCAGTATGAGGGCAGAACAAATGCTGGCTGCTGTCCATTCAGGGGCCCTTTTCCATCTCTGAGCCATGGCTCATGGCATGCCAGCTGGGCCAGTGCAGAATGTACCAACCTCTTTTTTCAACAAAACAGCACCATGAACCTTGGTGTGAAATCAGCTAATTTAAGGCAAATTGCAACAAGTGTGACAAACAGCAGGAGGTAAGGAAAACTTAAGGGTACTTCATAAAAGTGTGTTTATTTCACTGACATCCCCAGAAGAGGTCATAGTTTGGAACAGGCAGAATGTGTTACTAAGCTGTTCTTTCTAGTGCAGGTTGACTTGATTTTACATGACACGAGATCTAACCACTGGGCTTGAGGTTGTATCACAGGATTTTAGTTTAAAAAAAAAAAGGCCCAAGAGAGATACTCTAAATATATATATTCGGGTCCACAAACAAACAAACAAACAAGCATACATGACAGATGAAAATAGGTAAGACTTTTCTTTAATTTTACTGATGATTTCATTACACCATCAGAAATAGGCATGGAATATTTTCAGTGGCTGAAAAGTCTCATCCTGAAATAAAAGGTATGCATTAACATCCATTTTTGCAAAACCATCTTTTCATGTTGGTAAGCTTTGTTGATAGAGGAGAGGAAACATACAGGCTCTCCCAGGCAAGCTCTTATTCACAGGTACAAATCTCTTTTCAGTGATGAATGAATCCTTTCAGAAACGCTAATATCAGGATTTACACAAGGTGGCCAATGTAAACTGTAACTGCTGGTTCATGATTCTTTTTGGATCCTTTGCCAACTTACAAATCTTCAGAGTTAGTGTTGAAACAGGCAGCATTTTGTTGGAAAAGAGCAAAAATGCATTTCTGAACCAAAATCTACCGATGGGAATAGATGACACAACAACCTCAAGAAACAGCTTCCTTGTGAACCCAACCAGTGTGAGAAAGGAGGAGAGACAGTAAGAAGATGGGGATTTTGATGCTTGGATCATATCTCACTTCTTGCATTCCCCCAGGAGATTTAGTACTACTTCTGAAGGCAGCAGCCAAAAATATGCTTTGATGTATCTTTCATCTAAAGCTATCTATATTGATAGACTGTGTTTGTGCGGTTGAAGCACTGAACCAGAGATAGGACTTTTGTTCCCACTTCTACCACAGACTCTTGGTATGCCCTCAGAAAAGCAATGAGAGTTTGTATGTCTGACCCGGGCCTCTCTCAGCCAAGCAGAGAAGAGACCACTTTCCCACACAGCAGCATGGAAAAAAGCTCTGTGCATCATGAGATGGACAGGTCCCATCATCCTGAGTCCTCCTGAAAGCAATGAAAACAAATTGACACTGGTCAGATTCAGGCTGCCCTAAAATTAATCATATGATTCATTAGGAAACAAATTCTTCAGTTCAGAAATTACCAGTAACAATCTTTTCTTCTGGATTATTGCTCCCACAGATGAGCCAAATAAAGGACCATTTCAAAGGTCGTGATTCATTTCAGTGCAAAGCAATTGGCTTTGCTTTGATTGCAGGGGAATGTGACTTAAATTAGGCCAGCTGACTTTGTCCTGAAGAGGACTACAGCTTCTCACATGATCTGTAGCATAGCCCAGCTGTGGATGTTGACCTCTCTGGCTAAAGCCACAAGACATTCAACTCTGCCATAGGACATTTGCCCCAATAAAGAGAAAATAGACTGGATGGAAATGGAGTTGTCAGAAGAAACTGTTGAGAACAGCAATACGATTCCAGAAAAAAAAGCACTTCCTCAGATCATAGGGGATGATCATCTCTCATACTTGCACTCTTCTTCCCCAGGTAACTGAGCACTGCTGGATTAAGCTCAGGAGACGGGAGGATGGAGGAGCAAGAAGCAAACTTTTTTCATAAGGGAACATATACAGTAAATAACAGCTGCAAAGGCTCTGTCATGTATTGAAGACATAATTCAGTGTTTTCCTTCCCAAAATCAGGATTTAATGGGAAGCAAGTTTCACCCTTTCTAAAGGAGTACTCTACAATAAGCTTGTTAAGTTTGGAAAGTACTTTGGGAGCCCTTGGGATGAAAGGCACTCTAGGAATGAAAGCTGATATTTACGATTATTGCTTGAAAGGAACAGAGAGGAACAGTAATGTAAAATATGAATGGCTGCTGGTGCTAAAAAACGTATCGTTGACTTGGTGCCAAAGAAGATAGTCCTAGCTCTCAAACCTGAATGACAAGGATTTAGGAGATACAAGAAGTGGAAGAGACTCATGCAAATAACAGCAAAAGCCAACTTGATTGCAGGGCAAATAGGTGTCTTGTGGGTTTTTCTCTTCTTCCTCCTAAATTGCAGGCCATATGATCTGATCTCTCCCATCCCAGCTCTGCCAGCCAAAACAGATGCCTATTAACCACAGTAAGTACTGCTGGTTTGTACTCCTCTTGAAGGAGAAACCTACAGATCCCTTAGGACATGAGGCAAGGAGAATACCCTTCATAAGTGGTCATATGTTATGGATTGGCCTAAGTAGATTCATATCTTATCTCACTCAAAGGACTAAGAGCAGAACCACTTCAGGCTAATGTAAATTAAACTTCTCTATTTTAGAAAGCTATAAGAGAAGAAAATCAGGCTAACACGTTCTGCTTCTGCAAACATCTAGCTGCATGCTCTCTGCTTGCATAAGTGTCTTTTATTGATTTTACACTGGGCATCTGGTCCTCTAATATGGCACTGTACAGATCCTAGAGAGAACGTTTCTCTATCTGGACCTGGTATTGAGATACCTTTACCTTAGTCTCCCGCTCTTCCACTTTTCCCTGAGAAGATCTAAAAGAAAAATCCTTTGAGAGAAAGAATTCTGCTTCTTCACTTCTTCAAAAAACAAGCTTGAAAGTGACTCTAGTGCATAAGAAACCTTCACTGCAAAAACCCACAGGATCTTGAGAAGTGATTTTTTTTTTCATATAGCAGAGAATAACACAGCATGCACCAGAGGCTGAATGTTAATATCATACACATATAAATGAGATATAAGGTACAATTATTTTTTAACGAGCTACTGCAGTGAATTAACAAGAAAGGCTGTGTTCTCTAATTCACAGGCTCCAAATGAAGATGGGATGCCTTTCACAGGCATGCTTCAAGCAGATGTGGGTTAGTGGGCTAGAAGAACTGGAATGGCTCTAGGGATAGAGATTTTGCCAATGAACACCCCACCCAGGCTAGCAGCCTTCTGTGTCACTTGGGCAAGCCTTGCAATCTCTCTGCAGGCCAGTCTCCCACATTTCCAATGTGGCTAAACCCCACAGCAGCCAGGAGAGCGCTGTGTCTGTTCTCTTTGGGTTGCTGAAGGCCAAGTAGAGCCCTGGCCTCGCCTCCGACTCTGGAGAAGTACCATTTCGCCAAATCCACACTAACAGGACTGCTAATGGCCCTTCGCTGAGGTGCAGCTGCTGCACTGGCACATTGTTAAGGGAAAGAAGGTCCCCTGGCAGCTTGTGCTGCCAGGGCTGTGGTGTGGAGCATGCTTCTGCAAGATCCTCTCCATCAGCACTGCCTCTTCGTCCTGGCACAGTCTAATGCTGATGGATCTGTATTAGAAATAACAGAAAGTCCTCGGCCTTTTTTTAATCCCTTTCTTTCTTTTTCCTTCCCTTCAGCTATTTAGGCCAACTCTGGCTAATCACGCTCTCTAACTTATACTCAGTCACTGCCATGGCAACCATTTCAACATGCAGTTCATAGACTACCTCTGAGATGCGCAGCCCTTTTCAGAAACACATAGACCTTGATGCTTCAGGAGAGGCATTAA